GTCACCAAAGTACACCAACATCATACTTTTCAGTAAATGTATCTGTTTTGTTGAAAAACAACGAAGATTTAACAGTAAACATTGTTTTGACTATGACAGGACTGTACAAAATATAATTTATAATGAGAGAATATTTATAGAGGGACTTGTATTTTGTTTGTAAAGAATACAGTAAAAAGCTAGTTAAATTTTCAAGAATTGAAGTTAATAAATCTGTTGAAATCTATCCTATGTAGAAAACATTTTGATACCAAAGAAAAAAGTATGTTGAGATCATGTCAGCTCTACAGTTGACAAATTTGATAGACAGTGTTATAAATTATATTGTTTGAGACAATTTGATAAGCAGTGTTATAAATTATATTGTTGGAGACAATTTGATATATTTTGTATTGTAAACGATAGTGATGGAGATAATTTGATATATTTTGTATTGTAAACGATAGTGTTGGGCACAGTTTGATAGGCAGTGTTATAAATTATATTGTTGGAGACAATTTGATATATTTTGTATTGTAAACGATAGTGATGGAGATAATTTGATATAGTATGTTGTAAACTATAGTGTTGGGCACAGTTTGATAGGCAGTGTTATAAACTAATGTTGGGGGAGGAATTAAATAGGTAGACAAACTACCATGTATTTATAATAGTAATCAACACTTTTCATGTGAAGATTTATACGTGTGTGTGCAGGGCTTTAGCCTACTATGTCACTCTCATACCTGCATGAGTCACACTACAACATTGGTTCTGCTAATGTATAACATGTTCAACAGCATACCAGGAAGGAAAAATCATCATGCATGACGTTGCAAGGAGTAGATGTAGACGTATTATACTAATAAGTAACTTTGAGAAAAACAAGATGACTAATGAAACTGTTCACTATGAAAGTCATTTATAAAATCAGATGAATTTAATTTAAAACGTGATGGAACACTGTTACTTTTTTTGTAGTTTTCTGAAACTTGGACATACACTCAAGGGTTGCCTAGGTAAGATTTCATTAAAATGTATACCATCACCTTCAATAAATGTATATATAAAACATTACATAGACAGAATGTTGCAATTTCTGGTAACCAGACCTTTACTGGGAAATATGGAACAATGAGAACTTACTTGGTCTACACTTATTACCACTAGTGCTGTACCACCTGTTCTTGAAGGACTTTCCTGGACAGCTCCAGTCCTGACATTACCAGATCCAATTCCAGAGTTTAATTGGTCGTTAGAGAAACCAATGGGCTATGACAAGAAGATACCATGAGAGTTATACCAAACTTATTTTTGGATCATTTCCAGAGTGATGGGTGGAAGAGTGAACAACAAGCCATCCTCCTCCTTACTTATTTGGAAGAACTAGCTTTGGTAACCTGAGAGCTGTAACAACAAACATTAATAACCATCTTATCCAACATGTTTGGAGTGTTGAATCAGAAAGAAGTATACACAATAAATTTCCAGAACTGGGTACAGAGGAAAGAAGAGACCTTAGCCATGCTTGGAGAAGACTTGAAAAGGCTTGCCCAGTTATCTTACCCAGATACCTCTCATGAAATGATGGATCCATTGTAAGTGACAAATTTATAGATGCCATAAGAGATGAGGATTAGGCTTAAGCAAGGTAGATGTACATCCTAAAAGAAAGCTCTGTAGTGAGAGATGGAACTTGAATCTGGGAATATTAGTTCTTGTAATATTGAAACATCAAATACCTCTATCAATAATGTGGAAGAACTGAAAGAATTAGCAAGACACTTAAACGAACTGAGGAAATAAATCACAGGACAATAGATGCTTTAAGTGTAACTTGAAGA